TTTCAAGTATAAGTTGTATTTTTTTGTTTTCATTTTCCACCTCAGCACTGTGAAACTTACTGTGTCTCTTGCTGTACGTGTAGTAGTATTGTTTTCTTTTACCCACCCACCAAGCACATTTATTTAACTTACATACACAATTATTTCATACATACAAAGTTATAAACTCTATATACTTTGCTATTCTTCAAGTCAAGGCAAACACGAGAATCCATTTTCAAGTTCTTAGCAAATTTAGATTTTTAAGGTAAGATACACGAGTGCAGTGGTTAAAATTTTAATTCTCCATAATATCTATATTATGATTTCATTCAATGCCTTAGATTCCAATAAATGATTTTTATGTTAAATCCTTCGGGATAGACCGTCAGGTCCAATTATGTTAAATCCTACGGGATGTGGGAATTCTAAAGAAATTCATTGAATCATCTGTTATCGCGATCAGTGGTTCTAAATTCATGAATGTCGGGTATGAATGTTTCATTTGTACTAAAGTTATGTTGAATAGAAATTTGCATGTATCTTACTGAGTGTTTTGCTTAAAATACTCACTCTTAAAAAAATTTCAGATTAGAACGGGTCGTGCTGAACATGTGAAAGATTGGATGAGTGGATACTTATGGATTGTCAAGTAAAAAAAATAAATTGATTTTAAGCACATTTATGACTAGACTTTTATTTAACATTTTATGTTTAGTTTTTGCACTTTTATTTTTTAGATTTGACATTCATGTTCGCGTATTTCATTTAAATTGATGTTGAATGATTTTAATTAAATTTAAATGTTAGTTGGTTACTATTTTAAATTTATAGGGTCGATTGATCAAATTTTCTTTAAAGTTATAGAAGAGATTTTATTTCTTCAAAAATAAGAAATTTGGTAACACTTCATGTTTTTCAAAAAATTGAAAAAAATAATAAAATAAAATTGGGGCGTTACGGCTATGCTGGTTGAAAGGAAGCACAATCCTAATCCTCCATCAGTTTATCAAAAGATTGTACGTCATTTTTCAAAACTTTTAAATAAAATTCCAAACCTTTTAAAGCTTAACCAAGCAATTGCTCATGCACATTTAGCTACAAGGTCCCGCATCAATAACTGTTTGACATAAAGGAAAATGATTAAATTGAGAAGCAAAAAATGGCCAACTTTAGGCTTTAGCATATGCTTTCCGCATACAACGCGACTGGTTCAGATGAACATGAAACCTGCAATTCATGTATCCTATGGCGGCAATAAATGTCTCAGTAGGTTTGACATTGTTTAGCTTCTCTCTCTCTCTCTAACAAATTAACAAACTTAGTAAGACTTCCTACCATTTATTATCCACACATTTCGTGAGACTTCCTACCCATTTATTATCAACACATTTCGTGAGACTTATAAGTACTTAAAAACTTCACAAGAGAAACGTACAAGCACTTAAAAGCAACTTCACAAGAGGGAAACGAGTGATCACAAGAGAGATGAACTGGGTGCAAATAAGAGTTGGGAAAAGAGAGACAATGTGGGGTGTCACGTACACAAGGGTCAGGGAAAGAGGGTCGAGTTGGGGGTCAGAAGGATTACCAAATCACAACCCAAGATTGTATGAACATTCAAGATGAAACACTTTTGCACCTTGCCGGGTGATAATTTTGCTTTAAAACTATCCCTTGCATTTAAGTGCGAGTGTGCATGTGAGACGGGGTGGAAAGGCAAACAGTATCTCAATTATGCTAGGAAAGAAAATTCTTCTTCTCCCCTTAGATAAAGCATCAAAACAGTAATATCTACTACAAGGCTTCAAATTATTTTTGAATCATGCAGTGAATTTTGAGTCAAGAAGATAACATCAAGACAATTTCAAAACAAAGGAATTTCAACAATAACATAAAAATTCTTAGAAGTTCTGAAAAAAAGAGGCAGAAAATCTTTAAAAACACTTAAAAAAGCTAAAGTAGCACTTTATGTCAACCCTTGAAAGAGGTAATTCAAACAATAATAAATTCGACCAATCAAATCTAGTAAGATGACCTTGAGCTAAAGTAGCACTTTATGTCAACCCTTGAAAGAGGTAATTCAAACAATAATAAATTCGACCAATCAAATCTAGTAAGATGACCTTGAGAGCAGGATCATAAGGCAGTAAACCGTTAGTTCTCCTTGGAAATGTACTCAGCAACCCACGACAGCACAATTGTAAACAAAGACACCGGCATGCTCCTTCACTCCAAGGATCTTCCAGTCCAATGTGCCGTTCTTGACCCCTGATTTTGGATGCCAAGAATTCAACACGATGGCTTCGCCTTCGGGAGCCCTTTGACCACCCACTACAAGGAGTGCTTCACCGCAGGCCTTGAAAGCAAGTCCCCAACCATTAGAGGAATCGGCCCTGACAGGAAGTCGTCCTAGTGCATCCCATGAGTTCTTCTTTTTATCATACTTCTTTACCATATTTGTTAAATATTCAACTGCATAAAGTTGGTTGTCAACAACCGCAACAAGTGGAGGTGCCTGTGCAACTCTATTGATGTTAGGATACATGCCCTCAATTTTCCTCCACTTTCTTGTTTTAAGATCAAGCTCCTCCCCACAAGTTAAGGAATCAGTATGACTAGTCATCCCACCTATTACATAGAATTTTCTGTCCATGAAAAACCCAGAGCACAATCTACGGGGAGTATGCATGCTTGGTAACATTTCCCATTTACCCGTTAAAGAATCATAAAGCTCTACAGATTTCAAGACGTTCCCATTCTTGTCACTCCCCCCAGCTACAATAGCAATTGAACCAAGAGTACCAGATGCAAATAAGCAACGAGGATGATTCATCCCTTCACACTTCACCCAATCACGACCAGTTGAACTATACTTCCAAATGGCAAGATCAAACAACTCACGCCCAAACACCAGAAGCTCATTTCCCACTGCTAAAGATTCCTTATCAGCATAATTAAAACACTCATCACATGGGATCTTCGGTAATCTCATCCACTTCTGCCTAAAGGGGTCAAATGCCTCCCATCCCCTAGGGTCACAAACCATATACACCCAATGCTCCATAATCCCAAGCTGCCTTCTCAACTCATACAAATAACCACTTTTAATTAGTGAATTAAACCTTGCGTTTAAGCATGACAATGAAGCATAATCTGATCTACTAGCCCAAGCAAGACACATTAAGGCAACATCGTCGTGCAAACCAGGGAGAAAAGATTCACTTGATCCAAAAATGCTACAATGATCATCAACTTCCCTCCTTGAACCCATTTCCATTTCCTCCACAACCAAAAAATTGAAAGATGTTTTATTTGCATTATGAGAAGAACTTGCCAACCTTTTCTTCTTTTGGTCGTTGCAATCCATTTTACCAGTTATTATACCCTACTCGAAACAAATGAAGAAATCAATCAAACCCCAGAAGGAAAAACCTAAGAATAAAATTTCGCTGAATTGTTTTTTTTTTCCCCCCAACTTCACGACCCAGTTATCAGAATAACCTTTCCCAGTATCCAGAAGACAATTTTCGATCTTTGAAGAATACTTTTTTCCATCTATCAATTCTAGCCATTAATATATCAATCCAGATACTATTTTCCCATATAAAATATCTTCATCCTCTACGATCAAACTAACATCTTTATATAAACTCTGTAAATTAATTATACCCATATCACCCCAAAAGGCAAAACAAATAAAAACTTCCCACAAAATTTCAAATCTTCGTCATCTAAAGCAAGATCCTATTATTTTTTTTTCCAACTTATTTCTCATTTTTCGCAAGAAACGCAGTGATGTGATACTACGCGCAACAAATGTAACCGTAAGCAGATAAATGTTTCAGAAAGAAATCCATATATTAGGATCCAAACTGGGCTTTAAAATTTAATAGGATGTTACCAAACAGTCGACGTCATCCTAGCCCGCCATAAGACGCAGTCGCCGGAAATATGCATCCGATGTAACAAAAATCGAAGTTTGATCGTATATTACCTGCTGCCAACCACTGGTCGCCGGTTTGTCACCGGAGCTGTGGATATGCGTGTGTTAACGAAAGAGAGGAGAGACAGAACTGATAGGGAGAGAAATGGGCCCGAGATTTGTGAGAGGAGAAGAAATTAATTTGCATATATTTATTTGCGAATTTACCTAGTCAAAATGTATTTATCTTTGTTTTTAATGCTTTTTATTTTCTAATCAATGATTTATCTTTTCTTATTAAAACTTTTTTTCTTTAACTTAAAAAAATAATATCAAGATTTTATTTTAAGTTAAAGCTAATAATTAAATTTAATATTATATTTTATACAACTTACAACTTTTCAACTCTATATTCTATCAAATTTTAATAAAATCTAATGAAAATTTGAATATAATTCTCACCTATCAAAGACTATATTCAATTTGAATATCCTTTGACCGTTTCCTCATCTTTCCCATATTTTCAACAATGGTCCATTTATTTTTATTTATATCCAAATTGTCAATAATCGCTAATTTGAATACAGAACAATAGGAAGTCGTCATTGTTTAGTTGTAAATTTTATTTGGACTATTCATCTTATTTAACAGTTCATCCTAAAAATGTCTTTACATAGTAATTTCATGTATCGCCCGTGCAAATTTATGAGGTTTATTCCTGTTTGAGCCCCATTTTTGCACGAAATGCATTTTGAAATATTATCTTGATGGAGAATGTATAGTTAAAAAACGAAGAAAAACTCTAGGTTTACTTGTAATATCATTTTATTAAAGAATATATAATTGAGAATAAGAAAAAGAAAATTATATTTTTGAAATAATGGGGCCGAACCAGGGTGTGATATTGTTTAGCAGTCGATATAAAAATTCCATTATATGATAGACTAGATTTGGATCGTTACCAATTAATAAGATTCTAAAAGATGCAAATCATGATAAATATAAAGGTCAAACTTTAGGTCTTACGAACCCAAGCGTGTTTAATCGAAGCCTAGATGTAATAAGACATTTTTCTATTTTAATATTATTTTTACCTAGATCAATAAATACTTAAAATAACATATACCTTGAAGCTTTTTAAGAGCTTTCATACTTACTTTTCAAGTTTTTAACGGAAACATAATTCTCAAAATCATAAAATACTTCTAATCATTAATGTTTTGTAGGGATGGCAAAAAAATTCATCAAATCCAACGCGAGGCCTCGCCCCAAATAGTACGGGGATTACTCGTTGGGACGGGGTGGGGATTTCGCCTTGGGGTGGGTAAATGTAACAAGAGCCCCTTCTCGTCTTAACTTTATATTTATTTT